GTTACATGAATTTTTGGTGCTCTAGATTTGTCCCGTGATGTTCGAAACTTTTTTGGGTGGCGATTTTACCCCGGTCGTGATTAGTGGGACAGTTTATCGGAATTTCTGTAATTTCAGCTGGAATGTTGGTATTGGCCCGTATTATAAAAAAAATCCTCACTTATCACGTGATAGATCCCGCGGGTTGCCCATCACTAATTATACCACATAAAACTTTTTACCTGAATGCACAATTCCTACTGTTTGCAATTTTGAAAGAACTTCCTGATTCCACTTACATTTCTTCATCAAATCAATGAGCATATCTTTTAATGCCTTAGGACTTTTAAGAGATACCTCTTTTAAAAATTTCGTTTCGAATTCATCAATCCATGCTCTGCCAACTTCACCATATCCAAATTCATTTCGACTACCTTTACCATTTGTTCGAATTATCCAATCACCCTTACAGCCGTATCTACGCTTTGTATTTAAAACCCTTGTTAGATTTTTTCTGGCCGCATTTGCAGTACTACAACTCTCTCTGCTTAATAATTAAAAAGCAAAAATAAATAAATAAATAAATAAATAGATTAGATTAAATTAAATTAAATTAGAAATTGTAAAAATTAGCAAATCAGAAAATTTGAATATTTACCGTACTATAGATATTTCTTTGAAGTTACTGAAGCTTTGATCAAATATAGCGTTCCATATATGGCAATTATACCATTGTTTCAAATTATCATGATTAATATCTTCGTTTTCAATCTCTAACCCTATGAATTAATTAATTTTAACAAAATTTTATTTTTGAATCTATTAATAAGTTTACAATAATGTTAATAACTTACAACGAATAAAGTGCGAATCTTATGTAATCTAAATCATGATACACTTGTTTGTCATAATTTATATCGAATCTATCGTCTTTTTCATTAATAGCTTTACGGATTTCTTTAAATGATTTCTATTAAATAAAATAAAAATAGAAATTAGAGTCTATTAATATTTGTACAAAATACAAAACAATTATATTACCTTGTCTACAAATTTTTGAAGATATTCGAGAACATCGTTTGATAAGTTTTCTATTAATGAACCAGATGTATCCAAAATTTCTTCGAGTTCTTGTTCATTAAAATGGTTTTTAATGATCTCATCTTCGACGTCAATAATAAAAGAATGAACGCTACTAAAAAATATAATCTATAATTAACTTATTTTGTAATAAAACAATGAATAAAAAAAACCTCTTAAATGCTTACTGCTCATATTGCAAGCAAAGCCCAATATTATATAACTCTTCTTCGACATACCGACCATTTTCTAATTTCCACATATATTCTTTTTTCATTGCTTTATATGCTATTTCTATTTCTTTTCTATTTTCTTCATTTAATTGAGGCGGACCTTTCTATTGTTTTATTTTTTTTATTAACTTTTAATCTATATAAATATCAAAACTAAATAAACCAAGATATAATACCTCATTTTTTCCTACTTCGTCGACAGCTTTATTATTTTCTAAATTCTTATTTTTTTGATGTAGACGGTAAATAATTATTTATGTTTTTCTTAATAAAAAAAAAATCAATACAATTAATAATATTGTACAAATAAATTTATTATCAAGAATAAAACAGCAAAAAGCAATCATGCTCCACTCACATTCAAAAGTTTTAGAGTTCTATTAGAATAAGAAAATAATAATTTGGGTGATCAAAAATAAAAAATATTATAAAATATCTAGGGATGGGAATTATACGGTATAATTAAAATTGTGGTATAATAACCAGGTTATTATACCGTATAATAACTGTATAATAAATATCTAGAAAGTATATACGGGTTTGTCATATGCTTGCTCATTTCTATGAAAAATTTCATCTAAATTTCTATTGGCCAACTTTGTTACACTAAAATATTATACCAATTATACAGCATTTTATTAATTATATTATACCAATTATACAGTTATTATACCATTTTTATTATACGGTATAATATAATTGCCCATCCCTAAAAATATCACAATAATAAATACCGTAAAAGTGCATATATAAGACCCGGATCTGGTATATTCCACCAATTTTAAAACCTTTAATAGACCCAGGGATTTGTTGTATAGATATTAGTATAATAGTCGGGAGAGGTTTTATGTGAAGAAAAATCAAATTTATGTAATATATATTATGTTCTAATATTATGCCCGGGTCATTGTTTCCTGTTTCATTTTACCAAATTATTATCTATATTATAGCCCGGGTCTGATTCATGGTGGGCCTTGTATATGCACTTTCACGTAATAAATTTATACCTCATTCAGTATTTTGAATTATTTCTGATTTGTTTTTTTCGTTACGTTGACACTGCTGATTAATTTCGGCTACCGTACAATCAGTTATGATTTCATGTATCATCTTTTTTTCATGTATGGTTTTATTCAAAGCATACATGGAATAGTTGGACTATATTAAATAATAAGACATTACATTACGTTAATAAAATTAAAAATAAACCTTACTAAGAAAATTACACATGATAATTTACTAACTTTAATGGATTCCATCACAACAGTTGTCCAAAAGTATAATACAGGTTCGGATAGTTTCTCAGCCTTAAATGTATATATAGTAATTATAATGTTAATAAATTATTTCGTTAAAGCTTTATTTATTTATAATAGCACTAGAAAAAAGAACATAATCTTTGCTTCTAAGGGGAGTACCATTTATTAGCAATCTTTAGAAAGAATCAACAAAAATATTTTACTAGCAAGAAGATATAAAAAAAAAATACATATATACATATAATAAACGGTACTCCTATAATTAAAAGTGATAAGATAGAAGCCATGAAATGGCCGCAGCCTAACCACCGGTGTGGCGCACCCTCCGGCAGCAACATGGACAATATATCTATATTATTACGACCAGTCTCATAAACAAGAACCCTCTCAAATGTATTTGTATGGCCGATTACTGTACATGTATTATTATAAAAGAATCTGACCGTAATATTGTATATAATCAGGTAATTCCCGTATTATAAGAGTAGTTGTAAGATATATATTCGAAGGAGGCGCACCCCACGATCACAGGCAAAGCGCACTAAGCCCGTTTATTCGAATTCTACCTTATCATATCAAATAAACGTTATACTTCCCTTAAATCTAACGAGACACTTCTTAGCTTTAACACTGTTTGAGGAATCTAGCAAAATAATAGTTTCAAGTGCTGCTTTGTAGTTGAAATGTTCAATGGCTTTCTTAGCTACGAAGTTATCTGCGTTTTTTCGAAAAATTAAAAAAGAGAGAAGTGACCAATTTGTATAGTTCTCAAAATAATCAAGTATGTGAGGAGTAAACATGTTTCGCGTAAAAAACCTATTTTTTTAATGGCGCGGTTGATTCTTGATTCTGATTGGCATTATATAACACAAACGCGTAAGCAACAAATATCAGTCATACGACATGTCACGCGCTTTTCTTGAATGTGTGCCAGGTTTGTGGCGCAGCAAAAATTCTTCGAAGTTCGTTTATGTTAGGGCTAGGGTTCGGGTTAGGGTTAGGAAGGGTGTTTATATTGTAAAATTGTCTAGCGAAAACTTTTTGTTAATGCACTAAAGGTGATTTCCTATGCAGATTTTCAAGAAATAGGCGATTTCTGACGAAACGAACGTTTGTTTTGAATCTTCTTGATTGTGTTACGTTACACCTGATCTTGAAATCTGATTCGTAGTTCACGACATCTGCGCCACAAACCTGGCACACATTCAAGGTGTGCATAAAAAATAACAATGATCATGAGTTTGTACATATATCGTACCTCTGCTCTTAATGTTAAAAAAGCTGCTTTGTTGGTCGTTTCATCAATTGCATTACCAAGTAATGTGATAAACAGGTTCATTAAATAAACTGTCGTGAAAAATGAAAATAAAACCATTATTATAACTAATGGATAATTTTCACGTAAAACCCAAGACGAAAGGGGGCTCGAATCGCCTATATTAAATTATTATTATATTAATGTACTCAAAATTTACTCAAATTGTATAAATTATATATATATAAATAACTTACCTGTAAGCATTATATAAACTGCCAAAATCGATGAATCAAACCACATAAACATATTTGTATTTGAATCTGGTGGTTCAATAAGTGATGCACTTTCTTCAATAGTATTATTTGAAGCTATTGAATTATATGTTGTAGCCAAATTCCAAGGATCATTTGGATCAGATGAATAACTTGGATAATCTAGAGACACTTTAGTTTCAGGTCGTAATAAAAGATGTAACGAGTGGGCAAATGCAAACAAGATAAATCCCAATAACACCAAAAAGGAAAATGCACTTTGTGCAACTCCAATAATTGTAGCAAAATAAACACCAACGAATGATGTAGCTCTAAAATAAAGAATAAATTTTAATTCAAGAAATAGTGTTGAATAGGTAATAGCCCATGATGGAGCACTGCCATTATATAACCATAGAATTGATGTTATTATAGAAGATAATATGGCACAAAGATCTTGAATAGAAAAAAACATAAATGAACTTAAAAATCGTTAAACTGTATAAATAAATCAATTATTCCAAATAAACAAAATATTACCAAAATAATTCCAAGCAGTTGCGAAATATTCTAGTGGCGAATATATAAATTGTCGAATTTCAAAAAATAAATGCCAAAATCCGAGAGTAATAGCAATAACTAAGAAAATTTCCTGAGTGCCCCAAGACATTTTACTATATAAAGTTGCTACGATCGTAAAACTACAAAGAAAAACTGTGTATATTGCCCAGATTGTGAAATAATATTTTCTACCAAAAGTATTCCATTTAAAATTGATAAGTGCTTCGCCATTCCAGGTCTTATAAAGCCCTGAATTAATTGTTTCTGTAAAAACACTACGTTTCGGTCTTATTAATTCTTGCCAAAAATTATATTCTTTAGGATAATTTACATATCTTGGTAAAGGGAATGTTAAGATTACAGGGATTTTATTGTCAACAAAATGTTTCTCATAGAACTTTTTAATATTTATAAGACGAGTTTCAAATAACTGATTCAAATAAGTGTCAAAATTTGAAAAAATTTTTCTCAAGAAAATATTTACATTAGATAATGTAGTTAGTTGATTATGAACACCGATATAATCAAGGTGCTTTACACTAGTTACTTTGGATAAAGTTTGTGTTAAAAAGTATTCATCAAAAGCAATAAAATATGAAATTTCTGATATAAAGCCTTCCACGAATATCGAATTGTCTTCTGTTAATTTTGAAATGAATTGAGAAATTATACCAAATAATTGGATATTAGGTGTCGGATCCTTTTCGTTTTTGAAATTTAACTTAATACAACTTTTGCAGAAATTTTCCGCTAATTTGTAATCTTGAAACTCAACAATTGCATTCATAACATCATATCCATAGATTGTTAAATAAAATTCTTCTTTAGTATACGTTTCTAATAGTTCTTTAAAATGATCTTGATTACCAAAACTATAACCTCTCCTATGAATAACTGACGTAATATATGGTGGTGGAAGAAAACTATTGGTAAATGTTACTTCCTCAAGAATATCTAGTCTACCTGATATTTCTGAATAATAATAATTTAATTGAATTCTTTCTGTATTAAATGTCCAGATATATACATCTGTATCTGTAACCATGACTAAATCATCATTATGAAGACATTCGCATTTTATAAATTCTGGACTTTCCCATATAACCAAATTCATTTCTCGTTCTTTCGGATCGTTTATCAGACCATTTAGAGGTTCTGCTTTAAGGAGAGCTTTATCTGAATCTGAATCATAGTTCAAAGTCCATTTAACTAGATGTCCTGGAATTGTTCTAGGAAATTCATTATCAATTGAAAGTTTAGCATCATTAATCATTCTATCAACGTCTTCTCCACCAGAAGGTATAGTAATTCTATTGTAATCTTTCAGCTCTTCACGTAAGTATTCAATCCAATTTCTATTAACCAATTTTTTGATTAACAAATTGTTATTAATAAAACCTATAATCTTATCAGCTTTATCAGCTTCATCAAATATTACAACACACGGGTGCTGAAATTTAAAAGAACCAACTTCAAAAAGTTTATCAGCTGTAACAGGTTTTTCGCATAGATATGGATCTCTTAACTCGTAATAGATTTGATCTTTATCATGATACATAACAAGTAAACGCTCTCCAACCCTGGATGCAATGATATCACATGAATCAATAATTATTGATTCAGAATAAGCATCTAATAATAACGATAGTAAACAGAAATTAATACACCTCAATATACTTCAATATATGTACAACATTTTAATTTAAAACTTACAAGTTACTAATCTCATCCCATTATTAGCCAAATAAATAATTAAATATGAACAAGACCCTCCTTTTTCCATGAGTTTTGTTGCGTGTACTAATAATAATGATTCTTCATAGTTTAACTTTGCGCTTTGAACCATGTAAGCATTACTCAAGAAATAATTTACTTCAAATGATAGAGTCTTAATATCCCATTTTGTAATGGACCCTAATGCAGGATTACATATGAGCAATTTTTCTCTTGGTGTAATGAATACTTTTGTATCTGGTGAGTCTCCAAACGTAGTTGTTAACTTGCAAATCAATTTGAGTGAATTTCCTATTTTCTTTGGAACAAAGACATGTGCTCTCCATAAAAAAGAATCTGTTATAATGAGGTTTTCATTTTCCGTAAAAGCTGAATTATAAACCCAAATTGGTGAAGCTGTGAAATTTTGTATAAGTTGCTTCTTGGTTTCAAAATCGAAAATTCCTTAAAAAATAATTTGTACATATATATATTTTAGAAAATCTCAACACGAGAAATTTAATTTCTTTGCTATATTCATTATTTCAAATGAAGCTGGAAAAGGATGAAACTAGGAATTGAAAGGTTCTATTGAAAATACGGACTCCACTAAAGTCTGTTTATTATAACCTCTAACCTAAATCCTAACCTAACTATAAAAAGAAAAATTCAAAAAAGATGCTCTCCAAAAATTTTTCAGCTCCAACTGCGACGTTAATTTCATGATTCGATAATTATTTTTCTATTATCAATACCAGATGAAAAGAACACATAAATTTTCCTTTGCCCATGTATATGCTGTATAGAAAAATCATATTAAATCATGAAATTAAGTACGCTAAACCTCCAAAAACCAATATGCACGTTTTATGTCAGTTTAAAAAGGTTATCAGATTTGAAAACATTATGAATTTATAGCAAAAAACCGACTTGATTAATTTTTTACTTATCAGATTTTGGTGATCAGTTTGATAGATTGGTAAAATCACTACGCTTCGATCTTGTGAAAAATTTATGATTCTCAAAAAAAAGAAAAACATACCAATTTTTGCTGTTTCATCCTCGCCTCCAAAAATTTGCATCAAAACAAGCTTATTATCTGAAACAGTAAATAATTCAGAATATTCACTGTACCTATACAATTCAGGAGATTTATTATAACCAACATCAACTTCGTCCTGTGATATCATGTATTCATGCTTTAACTGTTGTTGATCATCAACAATACACCACCCAACAACAGAGTTATCTTCACTACTCCACGTAGCAATATATTTCGTATTAGGTGAACTCACTATCTTGGTTACTGATTTGCCATTATGCGGAATATTTTCTGCAATATGGATACGTTGTTCTGAGGCAGTTTCCATTTTTTATCGTCATACAATTTCAATCTCAGGAATGATAAAGGCGTAAATTTAAATTGACCATTAAGTTTTGAAAAATTTTATAAGCCATGTTTTAAATGTAAATAAAGCTGTGAAAATTTTAAAGCCTAATTTGCGTAGCTTTATTTGCTTCTTAGAAGCTATGAGAATAAGCATTCGATTAATATTTAATGTTTTTCTTAAATACAAGTACCACGAAGTATGGTATTTAACACAATAAATAATAACAATTTTATCATCAAATAGGGCTCGAAAATTGCCACATTTCAGATATGTAAGATGATCTGTACTTTATCACTAAAAACTTTAAATAAATAAAATTGAATCAGTCATATCTTCTTAATTATTTAGTTAAAAAGTAAAGCATTGCAGATACAATTGACTCTCGATATTCATTGTTAGTGTCCCGATGTGGTTTAGCCATTTGTTTCTTGTATTTTATTATTTGTTTCGTTGGGCTGATCTGTGTAATTTGACATATAAGAACATATCACTGAGTTATGATATAAGCCTCATTCAACTTAAGTAATTTGTGAAGGCTTAACGTTAGTATCGATATCGACATAACAAGATCAATTTCAGATCTGGTGCAATATGATTAATTATTTACACAAATCAGCCCAGCTAAGCAAAAAAAAAAAAAAAAAAAAAAAAAAAAAGGAAAGAAAAATGTAAAAACGGATATATAACCCTATTTGTAGT